GGCCCTACTCTGTGAGTGACAGTGGGGAGCTCCTCAACCCCCTGATCGGCCCTGCTCAGTGCATGACAGGTGGAGCTCCCCCCAACCCCGATTGGCCCTGCTCTGTGCATGACAGGGTACAGAGCCCCAACTCCCCTGATGGGCCCTGCTCTGTGCGTGACGGGGGGAGCTCCTCAACCCCCTGATTGGCCCTGCTCTGTGCGTGACAGGGGGTGGCGCTGCAACCTCCCCATCGACCCTGCCTTGAGTGTGACAGAGGGTGGTGCCCCAACCCCCCAATCGGCCCTACACGGAGCGTGACTGAGGGTGGCCTCACAACCTCCCGATCCACGCTGCGCTGTGCATGACAGGGGGCGGGGCCACAGCCTCCCTATTTGCCCTGCTCTGTTCGTGACAGGGGAAGGCACCCCAACCCCCTGATCGTCCCTGCTCTGTGTGTGACAGGGGGTGGTGCCCCAACCCCCCAGATGGGCCCTGCTCTGTGCATGACAGGCGGCGGTGCCCCAACTCCCTATCGGCCCTACTCTGTGAGTGACAGGGAGAACTCCTCAACCCCCTGATGGGCCCTGCTCTGTGCATGACAGGCGGCGGTGCCCCAACTCCCTATCGGCCCTACTCTGTGAGTGACAGGGAGAACTCCTCAACCCCCTGATGGGCCCTGCTCTGTGCATGACAGGCGGCGGTGCCCCAACTCCCTATCGGCCCTACTCTGTGAGTGACAGGGAGAACTCCTCAACCCCCTGATGGGCCCTGCTCTGTGCATGACAGGCGGCGGTGCCCCAACTCCCTATCGGCCCTACTCTGTGAGTGACAGGGAGAACTCCTCAACCCCCTGATGGGCCCTGCTCTGTGCATGACAGGCGGCGGTGCCCCAACTCCCTATCGGCCCTACTCTGTGAGTGACAGGGAGAACTCCTCAACCCCCTGATGGGCCCTGCTCTGTGCATGACAGGCGGCGGTGCCCCAACTCCCTATCGGCCCTACTCTGTGAGTGACAGGGAGAACTCCTCAACCCCCTGATGGGCCCTGCTCTGTGCATGACAGGCGGCGGTGCCCCAACTCCCTATCGGCCCTACTCTGTGAGTGACAGGGAGAACTCCTCAACCCCCTGATGGGCCCTGCTCTGTGCATGACAGGCGGCGGTGCCCCAACTCCCTATCGGCCCTACTCTGTGAGTGACAGGGAGAACTCCTCAACCCCCTGATGGGCCCTGCTCTGTGCATGACAGGCGGCGGTGCCCCAACTCCCTATCGGCCCTACTCTGTGAGTGACAGGGGGCAGCGCCCCAACCCCCTGATCGCCCTGCGGCTCTGTTTGTGACAGGGTGTGGCACCCCAACCACCTTATCAGCCCTTCTCTGTGTGTGACAGGGTATGGAGCCCCCAACCCCCTGATTCCTCCTCTGTACGCGACAGGGGGTGGGGCCGCACCCCCCCCATCGACCCTGCCTTGAGTGTGACGGGGGGTGGTCCCCCACCCCCCCAGCCACCCCTACCCTGAGTGTGACTGAGGGTGGCATCTCAACCTCCCGATCCGCCCTGCTCTGTGCATGACAGGGGGCAGCGCCCCAACTCCCCAATCAGCCCTGCTCTGAGCCTGACCAGGGGCTGCACCTAGGGGTTAGGCATACCCTCTGCCACCGGGAGCAGGCCTAAGCCAGCAGATCGTTATCTCCTGAGGGGTCCCAGACCGCAAGAGGGCACAGGCCGTGCTGAGGGACCCCCCTTCCCACCTCCCGAGTGCACAAATTTTTGTGCACCGGGCCTCTAGTTCAATATAATTGATGATGCTATAGACCATACTCCCCTTCATAGTAATTTGAAAAGTGATATGTGCAGTTAAGGTAAAATTTGGAGTTTTTTCTTTTCCTCAGTCTATCTAGAATAGTGCTGTCCGATGGAACTGTACAGAAAGTTCTAATCTGTGCTGTCCAAGAAGGTAGCCACAAGTCAGTCACATATGACTACTAAAAACTTGGAATGTGGCTAGTACAACTGAGGAACTGAATTTTAGATTTTATTTATTTTAATTAAATAGCCACTTGTGATTCATGGTTACCATATTGGTCAGAACAGACCTGGGATACACTGAAAGATCTTATAACAGCTCTAGATTCTGCTGCAGCCACAGAGAACCCTAGATTCTTTGTGATTTATAAGAATAAGTGTTTACTTCTTGTTTGTGTTCTGTGCCCGTTTGGGGTTGCGTGGGGAGCCAAGTGGGTAAAGCAGCCACATCTCACATGTTGGCAGTCATTGTGGAGATTTCTGTACCAAGATACAAATGCTCTGGCCCATGAGGATGCACATCACTTCTGCTCACAGCTCACTGACCAGGACCAGTCACAGGGCCCCAGTGAGCTAGGAGCAGGAGTGCAGTCCTAACTGTGCCGGGGCAAAGAGCCTCAGTAATGACTGCTACAGACATTAGCCTCCCTCTTAAAATACAGAAAAGAGTTCCCAAGGGGTAAGGAAAGTAGTATTACTTGCGTTTTCTTGAAAAGAAGAGTTGAGTTTCTTTAGAATTTAATTATCTTTCACATTCTGGACACTCACTGCAGAGATTCATAAAAAGCTGGTAAAATGTGAAAAGTAAAACTCAAAAATTTTGAGAAAAAGAAAAAGAGACTTTGTATAAGTTCGAACTGACAACAGTCAGCATGTCTTTTTAGTTATACATAGAAATATCATTTGATATGAAGCTCCACAATGTAAGGAACAATCTATGGATTATTCTTTATATGTTTGGGATGAAAATGGGACAGAAGAAAGTGTATTTGTGATTTCTTTCATAGTACAGAATATATATGATACATTTTTCACCAGCAAGCAATAAAAAGTCCTTTTCTTTAAAAATAATTTTCTCACTAGGAATATTGGCAGATTGTGGTTGCCTTAAAAATGAAAAAACAAAACAAAACACACACCAAAAAAAAAGGATGAATGGATTGTTTCTTTCCAGACCATGTGGGATCATAGAATTATCTAGTACAACATTTAATGGCATGTCTTGATTCTTTCTATAACATTTACAATATTGTTTGGATCTCCAGACATGGGGAAGTCACCATCTGATATCTGATAACAGACTTCCTATAAAGCAGGAGGACAGTATCCTGGTAACTAATACTTCAATATTAAGACATGGAAAGATGGCACTTGGCAACTAATAATGAATTGCATCAAAGTTACAAATGCAAACCAAGCCCTGGTAAATAATATTAATGATGAGGATGATTTTGCCACATGCTGGAAATGTTATGTAGATTTTAGTACTATGAGGACACTATAGATATCAGAAGTGTAACTGAACCAAACTGATGCTCGAGAGAAATTCTGAACTAAGTGTGCAAATTAGGCTACCTAGTATATACAAGAACTAACTAAGTCATCCTGCTCCTTATTGAAATGCAACCAGAATTGCCATTTATGCAGCACAACATCTATTTTCTGTTTCCAGGGTCTATCTGGGTAGTCTACAACTGGTGGCATGGGAAGAAAGGGAAGGCTGCAAAGACTGAACAAGAAGTATGCATTGTGGTATCCTTTATTTAAAAATTGTGAGCTAACTACAGTTGTAGTGTTCTCATTTACCATTCTGATGGCATAATAAACTGGGAGAACATTAACACAATTTCAAGAAGGCATCAAAAACCTGTAAACAAACGTACACACCACACATGCACACACACATACAACACACACACACCCCAAGATTATAGTCTAAACACAAAGTGATGAAGACAAGCTCTGAATACTCTAAATCAAATTAAAAACCCTTTGTTATTATAAACTGTGGCAAAAGTGTGGCTATTATGAAAAATATTGTAACTGTTTAAAAAGCAAAAAGGAAAATACTGACAATCTGAAATTAGCAGCAAAAAGCAGATAAGATAGAATGGAAGATAACATAAGACTAAGTAATAGCAAAATTTTAGTGCTGATACTGTGTAGGATTGCACTGAAGTAATTTAAGATCGATTCTTGAGGAACTATTAAAAAGTCCCTTGAAATATTAAATCGCTGCACTTTACAAACAGTGGACAAGAATAAAACATTTGGAATGGTACACACACACACACACACACACACACACACACGCACACACACACAGAAAATGTATTAGGCATATCAGTTTATGGTCTTTGTTTAAGACCTTCAAAAAGTTTTATAAAGAAAAATTTAAGTGCCAATGTAGTGAAAGAAAGTTAAAAGTTCCTAAGGATGCACGTCTGATGCATTTATTGGGTCTGAGAATATATTTTGAGGTTGGGAGCAAGGCATGTTTGATGCACATTCAAGAAAAAAAAAAACATCGTGGAATCTATAGGGTAGGTAGAGTTCTCTGAGGGTGTTTAGAATGAAGGTGTGTCAAACTCAGACTATCCTGAAGGAGACTCCAAAGTATGTAGAGTCCTATAGCTCTTCATCAGCTGAAATGTTTCATGGTGGCCAATAAATAAGACTAACTTTTCAGCAAACTGGTTTTCATACAAACACAAAAATCTTTACCACACATGCAGAGCTGATAGTCTCTAACAGCACAAATATGACTCCTGGTTTCAGAAGAAAAGCACATTAGCAAGGATATTTTCCCCCACGAGTTCTTATAAAAATGTCTGAAGCTGCTAGATACCTGCAAAGAGGGGATAAGTTTAGATTGCCTACTGATTTTAGGAGGAGTTTTTATCTTCCTAAGGAAGCCAGCCTTCTCTGAGCAGGGGGCCTGTCTTCAGAATCTAAGTGTAATGTCTTTAGTGCTTAAACTCATGGCAAGCTCAGATCCAGAAAAACAGGCAGGCAGAAGGGGGAATGAAAAGTCTGAATGTCTACAGTATAGTTTGGAGTAAAATGTGCCTCGTAAATTAAAACGGCTCAACTGCTTTCAGGCTGAAGGGCTACAGCCTGGAGAAGACCCAGTTCTCTGGAGTTAGGAGCTGGGAGAGAGACCCCTGTCTCCAGGGGCCTCTGGGCTGACCTGGGGCCGTGGGGCTTTATTTTTCATGAGTGTTTCAAATTTGTGACTTTGCCCAGAAAAATACTTCTTTTGGTTACTTTATCTTTAAAATCAACTGGTCCGCCAAGTTACTGGTGATTTCTCAAAATGAAATCTAGCTGTACTAGTATCTTAAGGTGCCTATTAACTGAAATTAATGCCCATCAATAACACTGCTAGGTACAAACGGCTGTTGCTAAGAACTGACCCTAAAATGACCTAACTAGGTAATCTATCACACTAGGTGCTTTTACTATCTTGGGGTTTTGAATGTTAGAGAAATAGTTTTTGTACTAAGACTTAGAAACTGCTTCTCTCTGGCTTTGTTTCACTCTTCTTCTTCTTCCTCTTCCCCTTCTCCTTCTCCTTCCTCCATGGTTTCCACAATGAGTTCCGCTGTGCAGGTGGCTTCTCCGAGACTGTTGACAGCCTTGCAGGTGTACTTGGCATCGTCATCCCCGCACACATCGCTAATGATTAAAGAGCAGTTCCCATCCTCATCGTAGTCTATCTGGAAGTGGCGGGACTCCCTGATGGACTGGTCGTCTTTGAACCAGACGACCTCAGGGTCTGGGTATCCTGCATCACAGGGAGGGAACACAGGTAGCAAAAACTGTCATTCAAAATTTCGTATCAGTTCATGCAAGGAACTCTCAAGCTACTAATGAAGTAATGGAAAAAAAAAACGACGACGTTGCCTTTTAGCAGCTGCTTTGATATTGATGTTTGAACCGAACTGTATTGTAAATACTAATATATGAAACCCTGCGTGAGGTGTTTCACAGTCATCTCCTTTCCCATCCATGTGGGGCCTGCCCCCTCCCCACCCCCCCCACCAGCCACACGCACACACACAGATACAGAGTGCTACCTGGAACACCAGCCCACCTCAGCGACACGCCCAGAGCCAGTTGTCTTCTGGGATGAAATGAAAATTTTTCATCTTGTATAAAAGTTGAACTTAAATACATTTAATAAAAATGAAGATTCAGAATAAATAGGTGCAAGGGACCTTTAGGGGGTGAGGGAAAGGCTCTAAAATTGGACTATGGTGATGATTGCACAATTATGTAAATTCACTAAAAACAATTGAATTGTACACTTAATATAGGTAAACTATATGGTATGTAAGTTATAACTCAAAGCTGATAACAGCTCTATAAAATGCAAGTTAGAGGAGCTGCTAATACTGCTAAGAAAAAGAAAGCAGTATTTGTCTTAGTCTGATCCAAAGTCATAATCTGCCTCTAGATAACTGGAAATGGATCACATTGATTAGCCTCATTTTATGAATTAACCATGTTTCTGCAAGGTCCAACATTAAAAAAATACACACACACACACACACACACACACATTATGCCTTTAAAATAGAGGATGGAGCAAAAATAGGTTTACAGTTGTGGTTGTTCATATGGAAAATAATAATAAATAATGATACAAGAATAAACTGCATTTCACATGCAACTGTAAATCTACTTTTGCCACACCCTGTATATTATAATTCTAACTGACTTATTCAAATACCAAAGAAATAATTCCAAACAGAAAAGTGCAAAGATGACAGTCATCATGTTCTAATAATTTTTTGAAATGCAAAAAGGAGCCCTGCCAGAGTGGCTCAGTGGTTGAGTGTCAACCTATGAACCAGGAGGCCACAGTTCGATTCCCGGTCAGGGCACATGCCCTGGTTGCGGGCTCAATCCCCAGTGTGGGGCGTGCAAGAGGCAGCTGATCAATGATTCTCTCTAGTCATTGATATTTCTATCCCCCTCTCCCTCTCCCTTCCTCTCTGAAATTAATAAGTATATATAAAAAGAAAAAGAAGAAAGGTAAGAACTTTGGAAGACCCAATGACAATGGTGATGGTGAGTCACAGGCTGTGGCCCCAGAGTTTTCAGCAGAACCCCAACCTGAGCCTTTCCACACTAGCAAAGGCAGCACATCACATTTTAAGAATTGAATGAAAAGAAAGATGATGGTGGGCAAGGCATTTACAAGGTGTTTTGATACAACGACACAGGTGAAAAATTGTTTTTTCATTCCTAACTTTGGGTTACTTTATCCAAAAGACATTATGTGGCCATATTGCTGGAGAATCTTACAAAATGCTTTGTTCTGACTGCTGTCCTTGGCAGTGAGGTCTTGAGCAAGCTGCTTGATGAACACCTGTGCTTTGTTTGGTCAGACTGACGTGGAAGATAACCCTCCACTCTGGTTGGCACACGACAGTCACTGACTTGAAGCCAATCTTATCTTGCCCTTTATCTTTCTAGGATGTTGCAGTCTGTGGAAACTGAAATGCTTTGTGTCACCACCATTGCTAATTTCTCGTGTGCTATGCTAAGATCCCTTAAGGTCCCTTGAGCTCCAACAGCTCACGATTCTATGGCCAAATTGTCCTGCCAGCAGCAACGCATGGGGAAGAAGGCACCGGTGTCTGGATCCCAGCTTCCCTCCGTTTGAAGTCACACTGCATGCTCTCTGCTCTTATCAGTCCCACAACTTTTCCTTTGACTCCGTCACATCCTTAAAGGACTTAAAAGGTTTCTCTTTTCACATATGTCATCTAAGAATCCTCAGAGCCACTCAGGACATCAGACATCATCTTAGAGGTGAGGGCCTGAGGCTCAGAGAGTCAGACCATTGCCCAGGCCTCACAGCAGAGCTGCTGACTCCACAGCCCGTGCTCCGGGCCAGCCTCCCTCTGAGAGCCTTTAGGGGTACATTGCTCCCCAGGAACTTGAAACTGCATTTCATTAAGCAGGCTCCATGGTCACATACTATCGTCCATGACAAACCACTTTAACTCGGGTCTAGTGGCTGATGGAAATAAGTGAAATGTCAACTCTGCCCCTGATAAGTCACTGATGGCACTAACCTTCAGGGTGGAGTGGGGGCATTGGGCCAGCTCCTCCTGACCCAGTTTCCCTTAGAGCCTGGCTTACCCAAAGGCTCCCAGAACTGACATCGTGCCCAGGGCACACAGTAGGGGCCCAGCAGCCCCCAAACCCCTTTTGCAGTCACAGCTACAACTTACCTTCAATCTTGCAGTCAAATCTAGCAGCACTTCCCTCCACCACTTCTAAATCACGAATGGTCTTAGAGAAATAGGGTTTTACATGGGGCTTTTCCTCAGCAACAGCCTCCAGGAAAGCTTGGGCGACATCTCCTAGAAGACGGGGAGAGGACATGGTCACCCCTTCACTCCTTGTTCTTCCCTCTCCCTTAGTTTAAAAAAGCTGACTTTAAATTTTTAAAAAAAGTAGCTCCAAATTAGCAAATAATGCAGCTTAGAGGACGGAATCATCAGCACACCTTTCTCCTGGGGATAGGTTGGCCAGCTGCCATGTGGTTTTGGCAGGAGAGAAAACTATGACTAAACTGGGGAAATGTTTGGACTCCCCCTTCCCTTACATTGACACACTGAAAAAAGAATCTTCAAAAAGGATTTTGGCTATATTTCAAGCTGCTTCAGGATTCAGTGGAGGGTGTCTAAGAAGGACTGAGCCATACCAGCCTTCGTGGTCTCCCGCAGAGCAGGCTTTCCCTGCTCCTGAGAAGAGAGGAATCAGGTTCTTGAGGCCTCTTCCACTTACCAGTTCTGTTGTCCTCATTTACACTGCTCCACGGTGCATGAGAGCAGACCAGGACTGGGGTTGGTCCAGGGAAAAGGTATAACTTGGAGGGGCTCCTGCATCCTATCCCTCCCTTTTAGGCTGGTTGTGGGTCATCTGGGAGTGGCAGGAGTGGGTCAGGAGGGACTCTGTCCCCGGCTACATCAGGAAGCCCAGTAGGCGGCCTGGCCGATGACTCTGCCTTTGTGCTTCTCACCTTTGGGTACCAATGGCACCAGGCAGCGGGGCTGGAGGGGTGTCTCTGGCCAAGCACCTTGAGAAGATAAGGGCCAGACCCTGCATGAATCCGATGCAGGAAGAGGCAGAGGCATTCACTGAGGAGATGGACGGGGCAACGCCTCTGAGGGCAGGTAACTTACCCTGAGGATCTCTAGGAGCAGCCCTTCCAGTCATGTTTCAGTATTTTATAAAATGCCAAACGAATATGGACTATATACATTAATTTTCCTCTCAAAGAAAAACACAGACTAAAAACAATATTTTTGTCTGACCGGCATGGCTCACTGGTAGAACATTGACCTATGAGCCAGGAGGTCATGGTTCAATTCCCAGTCAAGGCATAAGCCTGGGTTTTGGGCTCCATCCCCAGTGCGGGACATGCAAGAGGCAGCTAATCAATGATTCTCTCTCATCATTGATATTTCTATCTCTCCCTCTCCCTTCCTCTTTGAAATCAATAAAAATATATTTTAAAAATAATAAAAACAGGATATTTTGAAAAAGTAAACTACATGTGATTGAAGTTTTATATTTGCTTAATATATAAGTAGTACTTTTGTAATGAGAAAAATGGGAGCTTTGAATAAATCTTTGCTAAGTCTTATGTACAACATAAAAAGAATAGTAGAGGCTATCTAGTTCTAGTAGACAAATAATAACTTTACTTCGGAAAATAGTTAAACCCAAGTTAAATAATTAAAGAGTAATTAGGCTTAGTAACTATTGTCAGAGCAACCTAAAAGTAGTTCTGAATTTAATCCTTGTAGACTGTATTACCAAAAAACAGCCCACCCCCAAAATAAACTCCTCAAAATGCCCCTCCATCCCCCAGCCCTTCCTTCCTCACCACCCGGGAGGAGGAAACCCTCCTGGAGCTCCTTACCTTCCGATTCTAGTTTTTCTGCGTTGAGAGGGCTGGTTGGTGATCCTGTTGAGGACTTCCTGCCACTGAGCCCTGAGATCATTGCCATAGAGGACAGTCTTCCAATGGCTCTCACAGCATTGCCCGTTTTCTGGAAAGCAGACACTGGGGTTGGCCTCGGGCGGTGCCCCTGGGTCCTGCCGGGCAGTGGGGCTCAGGGAGGACAGCCCAGCCCAGCAGAGGCAGCCGTCCGTGGAACGAGGGCCTCCCAAGTGCCGAGGTCCTGCCAGAGAAGTGCGCCCGACCTTGCTCTGCTCAGCACTATCAGTGTGTCAGAAGATGTTCGGAGAATGGAATGGGGCCTGGAACCGATGTGTGCGTTAATGTGACTAAACAAGGTCAACATGAGACAAAAACCCTTTTCATACTGTGCTCCAACTCCCATAAAAGGGAGAGTTTATATAAAGCAACTGCAGGCTGAGACAGCTCCAAAGACTTATTGCTGACGGGGCGCAGCAGGGCTGTTTCTCGTAAAACAATGCCAGTGACAGGACTGCAATTGGTCAAGAGGATCATTACTACAGATCCCACAGGTCCTCATGCAAGTGGGAAAGCAGCACACTATTGACCTCGTGTGAGTCGCTTAACCTCTCTGGGCTGGTTTCCTTCTCTGCAGAAGGAGGGGTTGGACAAGACTCCAAGGTCTCACTGAGCTCTGTGGCTGATCCAGATACTTAAGGGATTTTGGGAAACAGTCTGGCTGGCTCAGCACAAGTCTATGAATGCAAGTGAAGTTCTGGAGGGTGCTCTCCCCTGGGGTACACCCAGGCATCACAAAGCACACCGGAGAGATGCAAAGCAACGGCACTTTGCTTTTCTGAGTCGAGGCACCTTGGGAGTGGACAGAATTTCTGCTGAAAGGAAGCCAGAACTTGAGATTCAAATTTCTTTGCAGTGTGAAAATCCTACCAAGCATAGGATTTAGGTCAAAGCAATCCCCAATAACATACAATGCATCTATGTTTCTTACCTTTAATTAAAGTTTCTTACTCCTTTTCTAAAGTCAATGGGAAAACTAAGATAAGAAACTAACGTGTAACCAGCTGCTTCCACCCAAAGCATCTTTTCAGGCGCCCAGATGCTGTGCATCCAGAGAGCAGATGTCGGCGCAGACTGGCTGCTGAGAGAGGGAGGACACCAGCAAAGGGCTCCCACTCACCCACTGGACCTCAAACTGTGCCAAAGCCATTTCCCTCAAGTTACTGTCACACATTCAGGTATTTCAGCAAAGCCTCACAACTCTGGACTAGCTGGAAAGCCAGTATGCTTCAGTAAAAGGATTATTTCCAAAGTAAAGAATTTCAGGCCACTAAGGAATCATATAGAAAAGTGTGTGTGTGTGTGTGTGTGTGTGTGTGTGTGTGTGTGTGTGTGTGGTTAAGCAGTGGCCTGTGGCTATGACATGATCACTTTCTCTTGTCACATGCCACCGGTGTTGCAGACTGTTTTCATGCACTTTGGACAGCCATTCCATCTTGCCATCTTGCTCTGTCCTCTGCCCATCCACCCTCTCAAATACATCACTGTTGGTGTTGGCATGCTTCTGGCCCTGTCACCATGGTGAAACTGGGTCACTCTGAACAGAACCCAGGAAGCCCCGGGGGGAGGTGATAGGTGGGGAAGCAGGTGAGAGACGACGATGGAGTAACAGCTCTGTGCAGAGGCACTATGGCCCTGCAGAGAACAAGACCATTTGGGAATCTCGCGTGCTCTTCTGGAGGAGGCTGCCACACTGATCTGTCTGATGTGCTGGCAAGAGTGTTGAGAGACCCAGCTCTTCCCGTGGGAGCTTACTCTGGTCTCAGGAACGTGTGAGAGACAGGCAGCCATCCACATAGTTAACATCAGGCCAAACTGCTTCCTAGTCGGCCAAATTCTCAGAGTCTGCCCTTCCTTCTCCTCTCCCTGTATCCTTTATCCAATGCAGATAGGTCTGTCCTCGCCAGGAGTCTCTAAATGCAGAGAGTTCATTCCCAAAAAGGGACTGGTTAGTTCTTGAACCACTGATTACTATGTGACCTTTTGCAAGTTTGTTCCCTTCTCTGGGCCTCATGTCCTTGAACCAGAAGATTCAAATCTCTCTGTAGCTCTACTCTTCCACAGAAGACTAGGATTTATGTTCAAGAATATGTAGCAGGAAACACCCCCCTGAGCCGTTGGGCTCCCTAATTCCAAACACCAGGATGGTCTTCACTTCCATGGTGTGGAATAATGAAGTCTTTCCTCGTCTATTAACAACATGACTAACATGAAGTTACCAGAACAAGGCAAACAAAGGAGTTACGAGATTTCCGAGGAGGCGGCAAATTCACATTAACAAATAGACCATACACAGGAAAATTTTCCATCAGTTGGAGTGATATGACATATAATTTCTAAAACAGAGAGATATATGTGCTTTAATAAGGAAAAACATTTAAAATAATCTATGCCATAATTCAATCTTTGGAAACTCATTTATGGGGGGGAAAAATAGGCCAGGCCAATGTGGCTCAGTGGTTGAGCATTCGACCCATGAACCAAGAGGTCACCGGTTCAATTCCTGGTCAGGGCACATGCCCGGTTTATGGTCTCAATCCCCAGTAGGGGCCATGCAGGAGGCAGCTGATCAATGTTTCTCTCTCCACAATGTTTCTATCTCTCTATCCTCCCTCCCCCTCTCTCTAAAATCAATAAAAAATGTATTTTAAAAAATTGGTAAGGAAGTTATTTGTTGGAACTGGAAAAGAACTATATTTGTATATACCTTTGAGTTGAAAATTGGTTGCTGTTTTACTTCATCAAGACCTAGAAAATTTTGGAACATCAAGGCAGCAACGTTTCAATTCCCTAAACTCCATCCTTGTTTGGAGGAAGCCTTTTTTTTGTTCGCGGGCAATGGCCGGGCTGGGTCCTGTGCTGCACGCAGGCATGCTCTGTACGGGCCTCTCTGAGCCAGCAGCTCCCCTCCCCTGGGACCCCGCGAGAGTGACTAACGAGCCCCACGTGCCCAGGACGGAGGGCTTTCCAGGATAAGGGTCTGTCAGTGCTAAAGCTCTGACAGTCCCTGGCAAGTGGGCAAGCGAGTTACCTACGAGCCAGCCCGCAGTCAGAGACCCTTTATACACCAACAGCCCCAGATCAGTTTCCCGAGACGTGCATGACATCCAAGGTAACTGCCAGGCGTACTCAGTGCTACCCTTGCCCAAGGCTTTCCTCCTGATGGCCCTGTGGTCCGTGCTGCTGGAGTCTTCGTGGTTTCCAGAAAGTAAAGATGGTTGTCCCTGGACCTCCAAACTCCTAGTCCTTTGTTTCTGGTTTTGCATGCAAAAGCCCTGTTATCCTGTTCCACTTGCCCACCCTCAAGGCTCTACTAGCTGTTAAACATTCTTCTAGGTATAAGTGGAAGAATATACCTTCTCTCAGAATAATTTGATTCTAAGGTCAATAATATGATTAGCCATCCCCATGTTGCCTAGTGTATAGGGCTGTATCTATGTTGCTTTCTTCCTCCTGGGCCTCTCATGAAAACCACATGAGAATGAAAACAAGGAATTTTCTCTTGGGCATCTATAGAGAGTTCTGGGCTTGCCCTTTCCCTCCACCACAGTCCGCCCCCCTCTGTTTCCCTCCACCTCACCTGCTCCACCACACAGAACCTCACTGCTCTGATGGGGAACCTATACCAGGACAGCTAAGGTGCTGGTGCCTGGAGTTAAAAATGTGGGGAACATGGCCCTGGCTGGGTTGGCTCAGTGGATAGAGCGTCGGCCCACAGACTGAAGGGTTCCAGGTTTGATTCTGGTCAAGGGCAAGTACCTCAGTTGCAGGTTTGATCCCAGGCCCCCTCGGGGCCCGTGTGCGAGGCAACCAATCAATGTGTTTCTCTCATGTCAATGTTTCTCTCTCTGTGTCTCTCCCCTTCCCTTCTACTCTCTCTAAAAATCAATAGAAAAATATCCTCAGGTGAAAATTAACATAAAAAATGCGAAAATGTTTTCCTAAGAGAGCAATGTAACATAAGATGGTCAGATGGAGCTGAACTGTCACCAGTGATATTATGCTTCAGGCACAAGACGGGTCAAAAGGGATTGTGTGGTCTACTTCTGTGAAGTCTAACCACCGTGTCTGTGGGAAAATCATTTCCAAAGGCTGCCGCCCATATTAAAATATGACTTTGAAATTCCTTCTCTGAATTCTGCCCTTTTCTCCCAGAATTTCTGCCCCTCACTTCCAGAAAACCCTCTAATAACAATGTAAACAAGAGAAAAATTTTAAGTGATTAAAATACCAGTAAATTAATGGTTCCTTGACCCCTTTGACTAAAAAATTCCATTTGCTTCCTCTCCCATTTGCTTATCTCTTCTCCACGCCTGTCCCGGGGTGGGTGTGTCAACAGCAGATGCTCCTGCTCCCAGAGAGCCTGCAGCGAAGCTGCTGCCCCTTAACCGCAGCCCAGCAGGCAGAGCCCAGTGCCACCGCTGAGGACTGCCCCACCCCACCCAGCACCTGCCTGCCCCAGAGATCCCACTATTTCTTTGAGGTCTGTTGGCCACAGAACCATTAATAACGTCAGCCTTTGATTTTTGTGGCCCCGTCTTGCTTTGTTTTGTCTGTAAGAATATGTGCTACTCCGATTTCACTGGATGCTAACAGCCCCGGAGGGAAAGGTGAGCAGCACAGTCTTTCAACTTGCCTGGCACTTGAGGGTGGCCAGGTCCACCTAACCCTTCAGACGGGGTGGGGATGGGGTGGGGTGGGCATGGGGATCAAGAACTGACTCCCGCTGTGGGGAGCACGACTCCTAGTCCCTTGTACCCCCCACCTGAAGCCCCTCCCCTGCCTCTGTGGGGAGTGTGGTTTCTGAGAGAACTGTTCAGTCATCCCGTGTAGCAGATGACCAGAGTCCCAGTTGCCCCTAAAACAATGGTTCCTTTTTCTCTGCCACAGGCAGGTCTAAATGCCCAGGTGCCTGACTGCCCAGCGAACAGACGGCTCCTTTCAGGTCAGCGTAACCCAGAGGTTCAGCCTCTGTGCCTTTCTCCTCCGTCTGTGCTGTCACCCCCTCTGTGCTCCGGCTCAGGCAGCGGCTGGCTCCATTCTCCTGTCTGCACTCACATATATGGTATGGAGAGCTATACCGATAGTTTATAATTCTTGCTGGGTGTTATGTCCTTTTATGTCTATTTGCCTCAGTCCCTCCACTACAGTACACGTTCTATATGAGTATAGAACGCAGGCCCCTCCCGTAGCCCGGGAATTTTATCACACTAACGGTGAGAGTAAAACAGTACAGTAGATGATGATAAGTTCTCGGTGGTTTCGGATATGGTTTCATCCATCTGCTAAAATCGAAGGCAATTTTGTGTTGTTGTTAAGACTGTGTGCTTTGGGGGCAGGCTCTGGGTTCGAATCCTGCCTTTCCCACTGACTAGCTAAGTGATCCTGGGCCACTTTCCTAACCTTTCTCTGCCCTTGAAAAGTGGGGATAACATTAATCAAGGATTAAAAGACTTGATGCATAGAAAGTGCTCTGAATGTTCTCTAGCACAGAGCCAGCCTTCCACACATATGAGCTACTAGTGTCCTTTTTGAACACATGCTATGTAGCAGGCACTGTGCTAAAGGCCAGATGAAGATTATCCTATATAATAAAAGGCTAATATGAAAATCAACTGAACAGTGGAATGACCGGTCACTATGACGCACACTGACCACCAAGGGGAAGACGCTCAATGCAGGAGCTGCCCCCTGGTGGTCAGTGTACCTCCTATAGGGGGAGCGCTGCTCAGCCAGAAGCCCTGAGCCGAGCTCAGGGCTGGTGAGCACAGCGGCGGTGGCAGAAGCCTCTCCCGCCTCCACAGCAGCGCTAAGGATGTCCGACTGCTGGTTTAGGCCTGCGGGGGGCGGGGGGGGGAGTGGGCCTAAGCCAGTAATTGACATCCCCTAAGGCAGTGGTTCTCAACCTTCCTGAGAACTGCTGCCCTAACGATTCCCGGACTGCAAGAGGGTGCAGGCTGGGCTGAGGGACCTCCCCGCCCCCGCCCCCCCCCCCCAGTGCACAGATTTTGTGCACCAGGCCTCTAGTATCATATAATTCTCATAACAAGGCTGTGACATTGGTACCACTATTATCCCCACTTTACAGATGAGAAAACAAAGGCACCGCAAGGGTAAGTCATTTGCCTAAAGACACGTAGTTAGTAACATACAATATTCCTGGAGGGTGGGGCCACATCTCTCTTTGTAGGTCATGTGCTCTCCCCCTTCATCGCAAAGAAATGTCAGACCAACACACTGCCTTTAAGGAGACCACATTTTCTATGGTTGCCAAATAGTCCTAAAGATGCGTATCCCTAGCCCTGAGGACATAAAATGCCAGTCTTGGTCCCAGACTATTTCAGAAAAAGATTTAAACATTTTTGGAGTGAGGCCGGGGCAAGTTGGGAATGAGGATGGCTTGCAAAGCAAATAGGAGAAGCAACATTCCAGTCCAGAGTGAGCATCTCATTACCTGCCATTTCCTTCTGGCCATGTACTTCTTCATCCGGTCCTTGGAGAGTTTCTTGGCCTCCATGGTCTTGGTGTCCTTCATTAGCCACGGATGCTGAAGGCACTGGGTGCAGTCCAGGCGGTTTCTGATAGAGGTAGAGATCAGAAGATTTCTAAGCAGGAGGGGACTCAGAGACCGCTGTGAGATCAGAAATGGGAGGGCGCCTGTCCCCAGTCACACAGGGCAGAGCCTAGGGCACCTGCTCCTAGTACATCCACCATGACCAGGCCTTCCTCTCTTGGTCTGGGTTACAGACTGGATGCAGAATAGGTCAGAGTAAAGAAGGCCTAACCATCAAGTAAGCAACTGGAGTCTCATGACCTGTTCTTGGGTCCAGGAAGGGCAAGTGCGGGAGGGCAGGTGTGTCTGGGAATGGCTGGTGCCACATTGTAGAGTGGGGTCAGTCTGCTGGTCACATGGGAGCTGGGGGCTATGGAAGCCTAATCCTCCCACCTCTCTGCCTCAGAGATTAGGCCCAAATCTCTGAGAATTCCTAAACTCTCATGTCTCATGTTGAGGTTGAGTGTCAGGTTTTTCCTGTTAAAACTCAAAGACTTATGTCCTACATACAATCTATGCATTATGACAACCTTAGAACCACACTGAAACTCGTTTACTCTTTCTGAAAGCTCTGGGAATCTAGAAATATTTCACCTTAATTGTAATAGGACTAATAAAGCCCAAAGAACCAAATGTTAACATACGTAGAAAAATGAGTATAAGTAAATTTGCTAAGTATAGCCAAGTGTACTGATTTTTAGATAAGGGGACTATGAATTATCTTAATTTCTTATATTCAAATTTTCTATAATTTACATGTATTTCTTTTATAACAGGAAAACATTTTAAAAAGTGCTGCTACGTGAAGACTTCTGGTTGAAGAGACGTGCTAAGTTTGAGAGTTCATGGGAATCTAGTGTCTTGGTCTATTTGAAATCAGTGCTTAGGTGAGGGCATTTTATGAGCACAGAGGGGCCAACACAGCTCATTGAATAAATTCAAGGTCAGATGAGAAAATAAAATATACACATAACACCTCCTTTACCAAACCCTCAGTGAATGAAGCTGTCCTTGGACCAGTTATTGGGAAAGAGGTGTGCATCTCCCTGGGACACCTTGGGAGGAGGGACCCCTCCCACCACACTGAAGGGACTGTAGGCCCCTCCCAACATGCAGCTTCTCCTTAGGGTGTGCCTGCTCTAATACAAAGACGGACAAAAAAATGTGAAGACCTCACTGCCAAGGAGTGTGGAACACAGCCTCTGGAGAAGTCGGCCCTGAGGTTGCTAAAAAGAGCCCCCACAACACTGCTCCTTTAGCAACCGCACTCTCCTGTCCCAGGCAGGGCTTGCTGGGGAG